CCACTGCCGCGCCGTCAGCTGCCCTTTCGCTGCGCCTGCGGCCCCGCCCACAGCTTCACCGACGGCTGCGCCGAGGCAGCGCCCACAGCTTCGCTGGCGGCAGCGCCGACGGCCTCGCCTACGGCGTCGCCGACGGCCGCGCCGACGGCAGCACCAGCGGCAGCCCCCGCGGCCCCCCCGTCAACGACGCCTACGGCTGCCCCCACGCTTGCCCCCACTGCCGCGCCTGCGGCCTCGCCCTCAGCTTCGCCAACAGCTGCGCCGCGGCTGCTCCGACGGCATCGCCCGCGGCGTCGCAGCGCCGACGGCTTCGCCTGCGCCGCCGTCGTCGACGGCCTCGCCGACACCTGCCCCCGCAGCTTCACCGGCAGCTGCGCCGACGGCTGCTCCGGCGGCGTCGCCCGCGGCATCGCCTACAGCAGCGCCGTCGACTTCGCCTGCGCCGTCACCGACGGCCTCGCCGTCACCCGCTTCCACAGCGTCACAGACAGTTGCACCAGCGGCTACTCCGACTGCATCGCCCACGGCATCGCCTACAGCAGCGCCGTCGGCTTCCCCTCCGCCGTCGCCGACGGCCTCGCTGGCGCCTGCCCCCGCGGCTGCCCCTGTGCGGCCTCGCCCGCGGCCTCTCCAAGATCTGCGCCAGCGGCTGCTCCGGCGGCATTGCCCTCGGCCTCGCCTGCCAGAGGCGCCGCTGCTCCCACGGCACGTCGCTGTCTTCGGCCTCGGCCTCGCTTGCGGCGTCGTCGCGCGCCGCAGGTTCGCTCAGCACCGCGGCCTCCGCTCTACACGAGTACATGCGACCGTTAGTCGCTTCTGCGTCTTCTCGTGCTCGCGACCCTTGTCGCCCCCCCCCCCCCTTTCTGGCGCCGGCCCCCCTGCCGGCCCCCCGGGCCCCCCGCGCCCCCCCCCCCCCCGCCGTGGTCCTCTCGCCCTCCCGCCCGCGAGCGCCGCGCAAGTGCGTGCGACCGTTAGTCGCTTCTGCGTCTTCCCATGCTCGCGACCTTTGTCGCCTCCCTTTTTTGGCGCCGGCTCTCCCGCGCTCTGTGCGCCCCCCCCCCTCCCGCGAGCGCTTGTCGCGTCCGCGCTCTGCGCCGCGTCGGCTGGGGCGTCGCCCTCGCCCTCTTCCCGCCCCGCCGTTGTCCGCTGGCCCCCGCGCCGGCCCTCCCCGCGGCCCCCCAGGGGCCGCCTTGGGCCCAATGCTGCCAGGCGCGTGCCCCGGCTGGGGCTGACGGCTCGCGCCTGGCACCGCTAACGGGTGCGTCCTCGTCGCGGGTCTAGCTTGCGGCCCCCCGCCCCCTGGCGCCGGGCCCCCCCCCCCTGCCCCGCGCCATGCGCGGGCCGCACGGGGCCCCTTCGGCGCCTCTTCTCCCGCCTCTGGTTCCGGGGCGCCAGGCGCGTCGGGGGCGCTTCGCTGCCGTGGCCCCCTTCGCCGCGGCGCCCCGCCCAGCGGCCTCTGCTCCGCGCGAAGGCGCCGCCTGGGCTCTTACTTCTCTTTCCGGCTGCCTCCCAACGCCCGCCTGGGGTCCGACGGCCTCTCGGTTCGCCACCTGCCGCAGCCTCCCGCGCCCGCCTTGGCTGCCGCCTCGGTTGTTCCTTGCCCCGCGCGTAGCGTTCCCGTTGCCTCCAGGGCCAGGTCCCGCATGCTCCGGCTGGGCGCCTCCGTTGCGCTTCGGGGCTCTCGCTCGCCGGGGTCGGCCCCTGCCTGGTTGCGCGCGTCCGCCTGCGTTCACCGTTCCGTGGAACGGGACGTCGACATCAATCTTTTGTGATGTCTGGCGGTCCGGACTCTGATCCGTCGAGCGCCTGCATGTGCGCTGGTTGACGGCTGGGCATTCGTGGAGTGCGCCCGCAAACCACGTGACGGTGTGCCCGTTGGTCCCTGGCGCCTGCTTTTCATTGTGCGCCTACTCACTGGCGTGCTCGCGAAGTCGTTCAACCTGAATTTCCCCCCGCCACTTCGGCGTGCAACTGGCTGCAGTTCAGCTCCCAGTCGACGGCGCACTTCTGAGCGCAGCGAGGCCCACTTCCTGTTGTCTCCTCCCCGCTGTTTTCTCGTCGTATCTCTCTCCTTTCCCTCTTGTGCAATTCAGGCCGTAGCTAGTGCGTTACGACTTTTGGACGGCGTGCGGCACCTCCATGTCCCATTTCGCTTGCGAGCACAGCCCATTCAGAAGCCATGCGCACGAGAGCTGACGGGAAAAGGGACGAAGGGACGCATCTAGGGAAACAAAGCGAGCAACCAGGATGAACCGAGAGATCTCTGGGAGCATGGGGGTGGCCTTGGAAGGCCTCTCCGGGCCATCCTTGGGAGCCGCGTGGGGGCGAGGGGAAGGGGATGAAGAAGAGGAGGAGGTGGAGGGATTCAAAGAGTGTGATCCCTGATGCTGCTGCTGCTGCTGCTGCTGCTGGTGCTGCTGCTGGTGCTGCTGCCTCTGCTGGTGCTGCGGCTGGGTCCTCGACTTTGCCCCCCTCCCAGGAGCCCTCAAAATCGCCTGTTGGAGCTCTCCTGGGGCTCTTCGGGAGGGTATTGGAGCTCTCTTGGGGCTCTTCTAGGGGTCTTGGGGCCCTCTTGGGGCTCTTTTGGGGCCCTCTTGGGAGCCCTGGAAGGCAGTTTGGGGCCATCTTGAAGGCCATCGTCAAAGGAGGGAATGGTGTAACGTTCAGCCCCCCCCCAAAAAGGCCAAAATGGAGGCCAACACCTTGGTGAAACCAGTGATTTGGGCGCCCAGAGGGCTGGTGGGATAAACAAGCTCAGTCCCCCCGCAAAGGAAGCCAACATGGGGGCAAAACCCTAATAAACCAATGATTTTGGTTTCCTCGCCGAGCTCGTTTTGGACGCCCTGGCACCTCGCAGGCCCCCCCAAAAAAGTCCAACTGAAGGGGTAAGGGGAGGGGTCAAGACTCCTTCCCCGCCCGCACAAGCCGTCTCGCTCACTCCCACCCGCCCTCCCAACACATACGTAGCACCCGAATCTGGCCCGAACCTCATCATATTCAGCAGTCGTCTTTGGATGGGCAGCTACTGGGGGCCACTCCGCCGCCGCCGCCGCCGCCTCCGCCGCCGCCGCCGCCTCCGCCGCCGCCGCCGCCGCAGCCGCCTCCGCCGCCGCCGTCGCCGCCGCTGCCCGCCGCCGCCGGCGCCTCCGCCGCCGCCGCCCCGTCGCCGCCGCCGTCGCCGCCGCCGCCGCCCGCCGCCGCCGCCGCCGCCGCCGCCAAATCGCCGCCGCCGTAGTCGCTGCCGCCGCAGCCGCTGCCGCCACCGCCACCGCCGCCGCTGCCCGCCGCCGCCGCCGCAGCCGCCGCCGCCGCCGCCGCCGCCGCCCCTCCGCCGCCGCCGCCGCAGCCACCGCCGCCGCCGCCGCAACCCGTAGCCGCCGCCGACGCCGCCGCAGCCGCCGCCGCCGCCGCCGTTGCCAAGTGTATTCTGTATTGTTTTCTGACAGGGATGGTGGGGGAAGGCCGCATCGGGTTGGCTGCGCATGCTCCGCATTTGGATGCAGAGTGTGTTTTGTATGGTTTTTTTTTCAGGGGATGGTGGGGGGGGCCCGCATGGTTCTGGGTTGGCTACCAGTCGCCTGGGGGAGGGGGTGTTTATTCATAGGGAACAGTGATAAACGGGAAGAGGCGTTCTTTGGAAGAGGGAAGAGGAATCTCGTTAGACCACCTGCGCCCAGAGGGCTGGTGGGACTCTGACTTCGGAGATGCACTGCTCCATGATGGTCCAGCCACTTTCACCTGAGACATCCTCGCAACTCTGGGTTCGGAGGTGCCCTGAGCTCAGATGGTCCAGCCACTTTCGCCTGAGACATCCTCGCAACTCTGGGTTCGGAGGTGCCCTGAGCTCAGATGGTCCAGCCACTTTCGCCTGAGACATCCTCGCAACTCTGGGTTCGGACATGTCCAATTCCGAGATGCCCTGAGCTGAGGTGGTCCAGCCATTTTCGCATGAGACATCTTTGCAACTCTAGGTTCCGAGATGCCATGAGCTGAGTTGGTCAGTCCACTTTCGCCTGAGACATCCTCGCGTGTTACATCATCCGAGCGCTGGCCGCATCTCTTTGTTCAATTGGTGCTGTCGCCTGCCACGTCCCTCATTTGGTTATGGTGTTACCGCTCGAACGCCAGCCACTTCCGCTTCTCTCGTTTTCCTTGCTCCGTCCCTCATTCCTCTCTCGTCTGTCCTTTTTACTCTCCCTTCGTTTCTGTCCCCCATCCGGATAGTCGACTCTGCGGCATGTCCGGGCATGTGCGGTTGTGTTTTTGGAGTTTGTTCAGGCTGTGCATCCGATTGTGCATCGGGCTGCGTGGCATGTGCGCTCATGTGCGGCCATGTTGTTGAGATTTTAGTAGGTTTGCATGGGCATTTGCATGCGACTGTGTTGCATGTGCGTGCATGTGCGGCCCCTCGCGGACCTCAGAACGAAAGTATTATAGAAATTAATTCTATAGAAATGAGTCCTGTGTAGGTCAAAGTAGAACCACAAGCTCGGGTCTCGAGGATGCGAATAGGGGATTTTGTTTGCACTGCTATCTCTTTCCCCTCAAGGGCTCGTCCCACCCCCCCAAATTCCGAGCCAATCCTGTCTCTGCACGCTAGCGGTGACAGAGTCGGCGTTCGACAGAAAGACGACGGCAGCGCTCGCTAGAACAATGACCATTATCATTGAGTCTTGTTATTCCACGGCGCTTCGCGCTACACAGTTCTGAGTTCCGTAGTTCTGCTAGCCGTCAGTTCGAGCTACAACCTGGCCAAATATGTCATCATCCCGCATAATGCAATCCAATACCTCCTAATCCCATTGAGTTGGGCTTTATCCCGGAATCATTCCGACCTAATCTGGTTGAGTGGCCCCTTGATCGGTTTCGGTAACCATTCGTCATCCTTACGAAGACCTTCCAGGAGGTGCCTCCTCACGTCGTCGTCGCCGTCGCCGTCGCCATCGTCGCGACGCTCCGGCTCAGCGGATGGTCTTGTGGCTGCCGCGCGCCATACCGAGGCTCAGCCTGCTGCCCAAGTCCCGCCTGCGCATTGCCGCCGCGCCCTGGGCGCCCAGGCCGGGCGAAGCGGCCACCTGGCCTCTGCTTGCAGAGGATTGGCGGGGGGGCCTCCTCCGTATCCTCATTCCCTGACGCTTTCTCCTCCTCTTCCTCCTCCTCCTCCTCATCTTCCACTTCCTCTTCCTCCTCCTCCTCCTCCACCTCCCTCGGACGCCTCGTCGTCGTGGTCGTCGTCGTCGTCGTCGTCCTGCTCCTCCTCCACCTCCTTCTCCTCCTCCTCCTCCTCCTCCCCAAACGCCTCGCCTTCCTCCTGCTACTCCTCCTTCTCCTCCTCCTTCTCTCTTCCTCGTCCTCCTCCTCCTTTTCCTCCTCTCCCTCCTCCTCGCTAGACTCCTCCTCCTCTTCCTCGGCATCCCCAGACGCCTCCACCTCCTCCTCCTCCTCCTCCCCAGATGCCTCCTCCGCAGACGCCTCTCCCTCCTCCTCCTCCTCCTCCTCCTCCTCCTCTTCCTCCTCCTCCTCCTCCTCCTCCTCCTCCCGTGACGCCTCCTCCTTGACTTGTCCGTGACGCCTCCTCCTCCTCCTCCCGTGCGCATTTTTCGTCACGACCAATGGGCCCAGTCTATTCAGCGCAGCGGGCGTTTTGAAGACCTGAGCTTGGCCAGGCGAGCCCTCTTGATTCGTGTCACTCTCTGCCCCAGGGCGGCTGGACAGTTTCTATCCCGACGCGCCACCGAATGTGTATAAGTGTCCCAGCCGCCTTTGGGACAGGCCCACACCGAAAGCGGAAAGGTCTATGTCGAGCTCGACGCTCAGGAATTGTCGTTTATCGTGTCGCGCCCCCAGTTCTGGCCCACCGCGCTGTGAGCGACGCGCCATCCACGTCCCGGTCCACGAGTGTCAACCGCGCCTCTGCCAGCTTCCCACCCCGCGGAGAGGAGCGGCACGCTAACATACAGTCATGACGCTGAAGTAAGGGCCACTTCAGGGCTCAGGAGGGGCTCAGGTTGTTGGACCGTTCCCTAAGTTCAGGTCGGGGAACCCACTCGTGGCGGAGGCCCGCCGTGGCCAGGAAGGCTTCTTCGTTCCTTTTTCGTTGTTCTTTCTGGCAGCACGATGATTGTGAAGTCGAGACTGACCAGGAGGTGGACCCTGCCAAATCGAGGGTACGCTTGTTGCCTGAGCTTCGCGACCCGGGCCCTCTTACACTCCTGTGGCAATGTGGCCCTCGGAAGGATCCTGTGCCCTCGTGTGTTCCCTCCAATCAACAGCGACTGCACTGCAACGGGTAGCGTGTCGCTGGGGGCGCCGCCGCGACAGGCCAAGCAACAGTTGCCGGCCGTACGGGTACAGGCGCCTCCCCATGGCGGAACCATGTATTGTCTACCGCCCCTCGAGGCTGAAGGAGAAGCAGGAAGAACAGGCAGACCAGGAGAAGCAGGAGCGGGAGCAGAGAGGGTCGTGGAGCAGAGAGGGTCGTCCACCTTGCTGCCGCCGACACTGATTTGCTGGCGCTGGGCTGTACGCCCACCGCCGCCGAGGCCCGCTGGGCGTGGGGGCGCATTACTGGCGGCGGCGGCGCAGCACCAGCAGCTAGAGGGTGAGGGCAAGCATGCGATCCGTATCATGTGTGGATAGCGTTGCGCTTTCGGTCTTGTCTTAGCAGGAGCAGGGGCAGGAGGGGGAGGAGGAGGAGGAGGAGGAGGAGGAGGAGGAGGAGGAGGAGCGCGTAAGGACGGCACGGCGGCGCTGCTGCGCGCGGCCGACGGGGCGTTGCTGGGCGCCGCGGGCGCCGCGAGCACCGTGGTACTGCAGCCCCTCGACGTCGCGCGCCTCAGCCCAGGGGGGTGGGGGCAGGGCAGAGGACGCGACGGGAGACCGCCGATGAGAGCGACGAGGACGAGCAGAAGGAGGCCGACTACGCGTCAGGAGAGGGAAGACGAGCAAGAGAGGGAGGTGGGGATGGTGGTGACGACGACGACGACCATTATGTATATGTTGATCTTTAGGAGGAGGAGGATTATGATGGTGGCGGTGGTGGTGGGGATTACGATGATAACGAGGCTACTGGTGCCACTGCTGCTGCTGAGGACGGTATCGATGACTATGACGACGATCGCCTTGAAGTTGCTGTTGACGACGATGATGTTGATGGTGTGGCTGCTGACGTCGATGGTAATGTGGTGGAGGAGGAGGAGGAGGAGGAGGAGGAGGAGGAGAGGAGGGAGGAGGAGGAAGAGGAGGAGAGAGAGGAATAGGATAACTGGGAGGAGGAAGAGCAGCAGCAGGATGAGATGAAGGAGGAGGCGGATGATGAGGAGGAGGAGGCGGAGTTGGTGAGGGAGGATGAGGATGAGGAGAGGCTTTGTCCGAAGTCTGCATGGCCACATCCGATATTGTGCTGTTCTGTCATTTCCTACATGGCCTCACGCGTGCGCTTGTCGGAGCACCGCGACTGATACGTATGGCATTTATATATACATACATACATACACACATATGTATTATTTTCTCTGGCGGGCCTGCTTGGTATCGCAGGGAGACTAGCAGAGCATCACAGTGCACAGCTAAGAGCCAGAGACGAGATGCCGTCATATTTTTGGACACGTAGGACGTGCAGCAGGCAAAACAAGCCTTGGCACAGTCGTTGCTTGAACGGCCAGGGTTGGCATCAGTACAAGCAACCGTCGCCCAAACTGAGGATTCAGAGGCAGCTAGAGAGAAGCAGCAGCGTTCTCTCCAGATGCGAAACTATATATAGAAACTACCGCCCATGCCGCACCGTGCAGCAGTTACTCGCTCGGTACATCGACCTGCGCCAGCGAGACAACAGGAACTCCGTGCGTACGAGTCGGAGGTCGTGAAGGTGTTTCGTAACAGCCAGTATGGCAATTTTCTTCATAAAAAATATGCAAGGCCGAGGGCTCGGACAAATGCGACATGGAACTGATGGTGTTGAGGTTTGCTCCGCAGCCATGATACCTGTGAAAAAGCCGGCGGGCGACGTCAGAGGCATACTTGATCGAGCTTAGGACAAGCAGGCCATCAATGCGGCCAGGGCCAGACACTAACGAGAGCAAGGGCAGGATACTGACACAGTGATACGCCATATGGAGTTGTTTGCATGCGCGATTCGGATACCATGCCCGAAGACAGTGAGGACGAACCCATGGTAGGGGCTACAGCACAAGCAGGAACCACCGCAGCTCCACCCCCTGGGGCAGAACTCACAGGGCCGCATGGGCGTATATGGGTTTGCGCCGCAATATGCATTGGGAAGACCTGGATCAGCACACGTGGAGCAGCCGTTCGTGGTGCATCAGCAGCCCCAGTACCTGTTGAGCGGGAGTGTGCCAGTAGCAGACCTGCCGCCGTTTGGAGTCCAATGTTGAGTACCCGCATTGAGGACGGACGCCTTCTCAATGGATTTCAGCGCGCACCAGCCACCCATGCCGACATCGAGGAGGGAAATTGCCTCGGTAAACGGCCAAGATTGAATGGCAGTGGACAGGCAGCAGCAGCTCATGCAGGCCATGCACCAGGTGGGCCGGCGTCGGCCAAGGAAGGAGCACAGTATGAGCATTCTCGTTTCGTGGATCCACATGTAGTCCTAGGGTGTGCAACCGCAGTATTGTGCTGTGGGGTCTACGGCAACCGCGGAGGGAGTGGCTCCAGCTTCCTTTGCGGCAGCCAAGATAGAAGAGGCGAAGGCGACGGCGGTGTCAGCCACATTCGTAGGCATGACGCCAGTGCGGGGTTGCCCGACGCCGATGTTAGCGCATCAGGGCTCGCCTGCAGAGTCAGTTGCGCCTGCCCAGGGCCGCCGCCAGCGTGGAGGACGGCTAGGCGAGGCGAGGTGCTTCTCGTGCCGACAGAGGTGGCAGCGACACCGCAGGAGCTCAAATCAGAGGGGCCGCCAGAGAATAATTGGAGTCCTCGTGTGCCTGCGACACCAACGCCAATTTCGCTTACGGAGCCGCGGGTTGAAGTCACGCAGGAGGAGGACCCGTGCGCGATCGCAGCGGCGCGCAAGGCGTCGGTCACCAATGCAGAGACGATCGAGTTCCACTCGGGACGCGGAGCTCAGCAGTCCTCAGACCGAGAGGAATATTAAGAGGACAGAGGCGGTCTGCTCGGGAGCGCAGGCGTCGGACTGCGCGGCTTCGGAGGCGGCGGCGGCGGCGATCGCGGGGGGGTCGGCTCCGCCGGTCGACGGCGCTGGCGGAGGCGGCGGCCCGCGGCCCAGCCGCCGGGGTGCTCGCAGTCGAGGCCCGAGGCGGCGCGCGGGAGGTAAGCAGGTGCGCTGGGCTCACGAGTTAGAGCAGCATGTAGAACCCAATGCAGATCTGGCTCCGCTTAAGAAAGCAACCGATCCAGCTTCCATTCCTTTTGGACGGTCAGGATGTCTCTGTCCAGGGTTGCTGTTAAATTCGCGCGCGTAGGCAGTGCGAGCTGTGGAAGCGCCGGCATTCCAGCGTCGCCTGGCTATCTGCGTCCGATGGGCAGACATCAGGGCATCCGCATTCGGTACCATTGGTGCCGGATCCAGAGCTAATTGGGCCCAGTGCCGGGTCGGGGTCCAGAAAGGAATGCCCCAAGAAGTGCGCCCGGCTGCGAATCTGGAATGGTTCTGGTTCCGAATAGAGATCACCATTCCAATCCCTATCCTTCCCAGCCGGGCCCAGTGCCGGATCTAGATCTGGATTCGGATCCGGATTGGGATGCCCCCCCGCCCCGAAGCGCCTGGCGCTGGATCCGGACATGGTTTTTGTTCTGGTCCCGGATAATGTCCAAAACCGGTTAAACAAAAGATGCCCCCCCCAAAAAAAATCCCGACCGCCAGCAATTCGCACCCGAATAACTACTTGTCACGCGCACCCCCTGGGAAAAAGTCCATGGGCGCCGATCGATGCCACTTGTATATAGCTCGGTACCGGGGAGAATGCCGACGGGGATGCCCCCGTCTTCCGATCAGAGACTTGTTTGTGCATGGGGTTTTCGCCATTGGGTTATGGAATTCAACATTTCTCCCGTGGTATACCATCTGTCAGCCGCATGCTGCCGCCGCGTGCGCGCGCGCGCGCGTTGGCGATTGGCATTTGTGCATTCACTGTCGCATGTCCACATGGAGATGTTCCTGTCTTCCGATCAGAGAATGATTTTTTTACATTGGGTTATCGCCATTTGGGTTTTGGAATTCAACATCGCTCCCGTTGCATACAACCTGTCAGCGGCATGCCGCTGCCGCGCGCGCGAGCGCGCGTTGGCGATTGGCATTTGTGGATTCAGCGTCGCATATCCACATGGGGATGCCCCCGTCGTCCGATCAGAGAATGCATGTCTAAATTTGGTTTTCGCCATTCGGTTCTGGAGTTCAACATGGTTCCAGTATATATATATATATATATATATATATATATAAGCACCAGCGGCACGCCGCCGCCGCGCGCGCGCTGGCGATTGGCATTTCTGGATTCACTGTCGCTTATCCACATGGGCATGTCCCCGTCTTCCGATCAGAGAGCGATTTTTTACATTGGGTTTTTGCCAGTGGTATTTGGAGTTCAACATGGATCCCGTTGTGTCAAATCTATCAGCGGCGCGCCGCCGCCGCGCGCGCGTTGTCGCTTGGCATGTGCGTATTCAGAGTCGTATATCAACATGGGCATGCCCCGTCTTCCGATCAGATAATGTTTTTTTTGTGCATTCGCCGCCGCGCGCGCTGGTGATTGGCATTTGTGCATTCCGTGCCGTATATCCACACGGGGATGTTCCCGTCTTCCGATCAGAGAATAAATTTTTACATTTGGTTTTTTTGCAGTTTGGTTTTGGAGTTCAACATGGCTCCCGTTGTAAAACTCCATCAGCGATATGCCACCGCCGCGCGCGCGCTGGCGATTGGCATTTTTGCATTCAGTGGCGTATATCCACATTGGGATGTCCCCGTCCTCCGATCAGAGAATGCATTTTTACATTGGGTTTTCGCCATTGGGTTTTGGAGTGCACCATCTCTCCCGTTGCAGCAAATCTATCGGCGGCATGCCGCCGCCACGCGCGCGCTCGCTGGCGATTAGCATTTCTGCATTCTGCGTCGTACATCCACGTGGGGATGTTCCCGACTTCCGATCAGAGAATGATTTTTTTACAGTGGGTTTTCGCCATTGGGTTGGGGATTTGACATTTCGTCACGTTGTATAAAATCTATCAGGGGCATGCCGCCACCGCGCGCGCGAAATTCCGTCCCGTTGTATAAAATCTATCAGCGGCATGCCGCCGCCGCGCGCGCGCGCGTTGGCGATCGGTTTTTTTTGCACTCAGTGTCGTATATCCACACTGGGATGTTCCCATTTCCCGATCAGAGAATGAGTTCTTACATTGGGTTTTCGCCATTGGGTTTTGGAGTCAAACATCGCCCTCGTTATATAAAATCTACCAGTGGCGCGCCGCATTTGCGTATTCAGTGCCGCTTCGCAACCCAGACAGGGCGCGCGGTGCGCAGGAAGTGGTCCCTGAGCGCAGTCTCTATCCAAGCTGGGGTCGCAGGGCCTGGCATGCGTGGCCTGACGCCAAGGGGTGGTGCGCAGTAATCTGCCCCTGCGCGCAGGGCGCCAGGGCGGTCGCGGGGACATCTCCAGCGATCCTGTTTGCCCCGCTTCCCTTTTGTTTTTCTATAGGCGCACTACAGCGCTGGGGAAAACCATTGTTTCAATTGTCTCCCCATTTTTTGTTACAAAAGAATGCATTATCATCTAATCCCGATATCCCTATCCCCCCCAGTTGGGCCCAGTGCCGGATCCGGATCCTGACTGGGATGTTCCCTTCCTCCTCCCGAAGTGCGCCTGGCTGCGGATCCGGTTCAGGTTCGGACCCGGATCCTGTTTGGGTCCCAGACCCGGCCCCGGTTCCGGATGGTGATGGCCCTAACCCTTGTCCTTCCCTTGGGCCCGGCGCCGTGTCCAGATGCGGATGGGGGTGTCCCCTCTTCAAATGCGCCTATCCGTTTCCGGTTCTGGATAGGGATCGTCCCAATCAGCCAGACTTGGTGCCGGATCCGGATCCCGATCCGGATAGCGATGCCCCCGCTTTTTTTCCCGAAACGCGCCCGGTGTCGGATCCAGATCCAGTTCCGGTTCCGCACAGGGATGCCGCAAATCCCACTCCCCCCCACCCGGGGTTTTTACAGGCCATCGTTCGGCCGCGCGTCGACCCTTCGGCGCCCGCGGGGCGCGAAGGACGGGGCGCGAGGGCACTTTTTGCAAGTGCAGCAGGCGGGGTGCCGGCTGCTGCTGCCGCCGCAACAATTCCAGCGGCTGCAGCTGCGGCCGCTGCCTGCGCCAGCGGCGGGCCAGCGATCCCGACCATTTTGGCGACGAAGGCGGCGCGGGCAGCAGTTTCTGCCATCGCAGCGGCGAAGCCGGGTGAGCTGCGCACTCGCGCGGGATTTGCTGTAGCTGGATGGAGGCTATGACGGCGAGTGGCGCGGCCTCGGGCTGCGCGGGGGCCAGCGGGGAAGCTCGGCGAAGCTATCGCGCGTTCCGTCGTTAACCTTCTTCATGTCTGCATCGTCATCGTGGAGACCTGTGGCGCTGGCCTCAGCAGCTGCGTCTTCCATGGTCTTGCGCTCAGCAGCGGCGGCCTTGGCCACGCTCTCAGCTTCGGATGGGCCCAACAGCCGAAGTTTGGCAAGTACTCACTTGCGCAGGCTAAGGCGGACTTGCAGTCCGCCTTGGGACGCTCGGCCGAGGTGAGCTCCTCTCGGATTGGCGCGGCATTGGCAAACTTGGATTTTGGACGCTGGCCAAGTCAGTCTGCTGCGAAGTTCCATCATCAGACGACAGGGAAAATAGCAGATGCGAGGGACGCGGGGTGGCTGGGGGCCAGGTCGCATTCTGGTTTTCAGCAAGCCCTGGGGCGAGGGGGAGGGGCGAGGACAAGGTGGGGGCGGGCGTTGATTCGAGAATATTGAAATATTGGTTTGGCCCAGGCGCCACCAAAACGCTCGCCTAAAATTCGCCAGCGGTGCGGGGATAGCTGTTTGGGACAAGCTCAAAAAGAACAGTGCCGATGTTGCTATCTCCGACGCTTCGCCCTGGCGGCGCCCGTTCCCTGGGGCGCCCCAGCGCCGATTTGCCGGCAGAAGAGGGCGGCGAAACTGAGCTTTCCCACCGCAGTGCAATCGTGGACCTGTATGGCGCGCATTGGAGGCCCCGGGGAGCAGGCGCCGTGAGGGCGTGGCGGCGTGGGGGTAAGATTCGGCCCTGTTGCTTTCGAATTATTTGTGAACTGTATCCGAACTCCCGGGCGAATTTCAGGCGATTGATTTGTTTGACGAATCCTTCAGTTCGCCGCGAGGTTCACGTTGCAATATTGGAGCCATAACCGGAACCGGGCAGCACAAATCGCGACGGAACCGGGAACGAACACGGCGCTGCAACTGGCCACCAAATTCCAAAGAGTTCGGTAAGACCAGAAAACGCCTTGTCGTTCGCAGGGCCAACCCAGTGCGTCGCTGCGCGGGCGCCCTCGAGGCTGCTTTCGGTCGCTTGCGACACCCGCCTCCTAACCGGCCGGCAGTCGCGGGCGACGATGCCACGCAGCGCCGTCGGGGCTCTCGCAACAGGGGTCAGCGCTAGCGGGGGTTGAGCCAATCCTTTCTGTCTGACCCGGGTTTTGGAATTGCGTGGGGCCGGCCCCGCTCCGCCCGCTCTCCGCGGACCCACGTGTGGGAGCTACTTCGTGGTTATTGGCTTGGGCTCACGACGTGGCCCTGGCTGACCTGGGGTTGCGCTGGCCCAGATTAGTGCGTCCCCGACGTTGGTCGGTCCCGCATTCGAGTGCTAGAAAATTAGACCGAAGACCGCAGTGATGCGGCGCTGCAACAGGGCGCCGCGGTCGGGAATGGTTGGACAGCGTGTCACGCCGCCAGATTTGGCCCACCACGCCACGGCGCGACACGCTTACCAGTTCCCCATGGCTGAGGTCCTCAAGTTTTCCTGGCGCCCCGCCCCGCGGAACGGAACGACACGCTATCAGTTTGCAAAGCATATCGTGCCTTTGGGGCCGCTGGCGCGCCACGCCAAGCATCAGATCCCGACAGTATGTCCGAATGTTTAGATAGGTTTTTCGCAGTAGTGCGGTGCGGCGCGGTTTCACGCGATGCCATGTTCACACAGGGGGTCCCCGCAGTTGCGGCGGCGCGTTGCGGTACCATGCACATTTGTTTTGCCTCGCGTGTTCGTCATGCGGCGCCGCGTGGTGTCGGTGTCATGCGCTCGGGGCAAAGTGGTTGCCCAGCGACGCTGCCTTGCGATGTTGCTCGCTGTTGTGCCCGCGTGCTCATTGACGAAATCTGGCGCCGCCTTCGGTGTTGTGCGGTGCCGCGCGTCGCCTCGAGCCTAGAAGTGCCATGTGGTCCCGATGTCCCGATTGTGTTGTCCGTCCCGCTGACAGCATCGAAGACGCCTTCGGCCCACTGCCTTTCTGGAAACGCCGGTGTGGTCACACGTCGGGCCAGTGCTTGGCCAAACCATTAGACCATGCGTTCCACAGGCCGATGCAGAAAGCCTTCGGGGAACGTTATGGATTACGGGGAGGAAGAGAGATGAGGACGAGAGAGAGGAGAAGGAGGAGAAGGAGGAGGCGCAGCAGGAAGAGGAGGAGGCCTCTGCGGGGCCTGCTGGGGCTTCCAGGGGGCCTCCTGGGGGCCTTTTGGGTGCCTCTTGGGGGCCTCTGAGGGGCCTCTCAAGGGAATCCTGGAGCCTCTCGGTGGGGGCCTCGGAAGGGGTCTCTTGGCCTTCGCATACCGTCGTGGGAGGCTTGCCTGGGCCCTTTGGGGGCTCTCTTGAGGCGCTTGAGGGTCGTCTTGGAGGTGTCTCTGGGGCCGTCTTCGGGCCATCTTGGAAGCCTCTATGCCTCTAGGGCCGTCTTGTAGCCGTCTTGGCCTGTGTTTGGGCCCTCGGGGGTTTCTGGGCGTCGGCCCTTCCCAACCGCCTCCTGTCCAGACGAACCAGCGCTGTCGTTCGCACGGCGGTGTGCCTCGCTTATGTTTTTCCTCCGCAGAGGCTTATGTATGCTGTTGCTGTGCATGCTGTGTGGGGCGCTTCTGACGCCGTCTTGGGGCCATCCTGGAAGCTTCTGGGGCCGTCTTCGGCTGTCGGATGCCAGAAAAGCGAGAACCTCGAATTCTTTCAAACATCATGTGTAACAACATGATGTGGTCTCCTCGGGGAGGCCTGGGCCGTATCGGGGGCCTTTGGGCCGTCTTTAGGTCAGCTCGGCCGTGTAGGAGCCATATTGGGCTCTCGCGTGGTTAGATTGGCCGAGGAGGAAGGCTACAGCAGGCCGTCTCGGAGGCCACCTTAGCTGTCTTGGAGGCCTCGTGAAATCATCTTGGGCCTCGGAGGCCACCTTAGCTGTCTTGAGTCGCAGACTGGAGGCCTCGGAGTCTTGGGCCTTTTAGAAGCCTCTTTGGGCCTCCTGGGGGCCTCTTGTGGGCCTCTGGGGTTTTCTTGGAGGCCTCTTGGGGGCATGGAGGCGGGCCCGAGGGTGATCTTGGGGTAGATGGCTGCACAGGGCTCCGACTGTCACTTTGTGTTCCCCTCTTGGGCCCCTTTGGGAACATATTGGTGACCTCTCTGGCCCAACTGGGGGGCAGTCTTGGGATGACCTCGGTGGCGTCTTAGACCATGTTGGACGCCTTGACGACAGAGAAACGAGCAGCATACCATCATACAGAAACGCTTGTGCGTGTCAATCATGTTGGTTTCCTTAGCCTGCCTGCCCCCAGGGCCTCCAAGACGGCCCAAGAGGCCCCGAAGAGAGCCCCAGAACGCCCCGAGGATACTTGAGGTCGAGACCCACGGCCATGCTCTCAGAGCGTGCGGAAAAGTCACGTGGGCACTCCCGAGATCGCTTGGGAGCGCCCGGAGCACGACGGCCTGCGCCCCGTAAAGAGCATTTACGATTTCCTAGTCCGAGGTCTCGAAGGGACCTGGGGACATTGCAGGCAATGCCAACGTCATGGAGGTGGAGCTTCAGCTTCCTCTCCAAGCAATTACGGCACTATTTCAGAACATCGGCATTCGCCCATCTCGAGCTTGTGTGTTCTTCGTGATTGGTCATGTGATCGTGTTGTTCCAAGTGTTTCCAAGTTGCAGATGCCTTGCCCAGGCTGCTTTCTTCTACGCTTCGGCGGCTACAAGTGGTACGTGAACCCGTTGGTAGCGCGAGCGTAGCCGGGAAGAAGTGGACGAGGATGCTGAACGTTGTGAAGCCGAGAACCGGAGGAGGCAGAGATGGCCGTTGAGGAGCAGCATCAGAAGAATGAGACCGTGAAGGGTCAGCGTGGCGAGGAAAGGATAAGATAAGACAGCGCCGAGAGGCGGACCAGGCTTCAGCCAGCACAATTTTGGTTCCAGCGGGTGGCGTTCATGGTCTTTTCAGCCCTTGCCCGTTAGCCACTTTCGCCACCAGCTGACCCCGTTCCACTCGAAGGCGTTGGGGCAGACACTTCCTTCCGACGAGTTGGCTCGTGGAGGGCAGCCATACAAGCTTCGAAGGCATAACTTTCATCGGGGTTTCAGCCTCATCGAAACGCGTGTGGTTCCAACCGCAGGAGCAAAGTCTGTCCGTGCCACACGGTCCAGAGAAAGAGCAGACAACACTTGCCTGGCAAGTCCCATGTGTGGGCCCACTCCTTTCCGAAGATTCCTCAAAACTTCGGTCCCTTTTGGGGTCGGGTGGGTGCACGGGCTTCGGGGCGTTAACTTGCGCCTCTATTGGGTCCAACCTCCGCACGACACAGAAAGGGGGGGCTGGCTGGTTAAGGGCAGGAAGGGATGGGCACTCGGAGCAGGGGAACGATGACGTGGAGGTGCAGCAGCAATGGATCCAGCAGCAGTTCCCGCACCAGGATAATCAGGACGATGACCAGGAGGAACACGAGCAGCAAGGGGGTGATCATTATGATGTCAGTGATGGCGACACTCGTGGTGCCAATACCAGGACAGTCGTGGAGCTCACAGTATGGTGCTAGCCACATGTAATATCAATTCCACATTGCAATTTAGTTGTGGGTGATGGCGACCTGGCTTCTTCATTCATGCTATGTTTGGATTATCTCGCGAACGAGCATGAGATACGATGTTCGTCAGGATGGTGGTTGGCCAACATGAACTTCGAATTGAGTTCCTCGGCGATCGCGAACAGCATGGAAACGCGATCATGATGATAAACCGCGAGGCCGATGATGATGATGATGATAACGCTGCTGATGATGATGATGATGATGATGATGATGATGATGATGATGATGATGATGGTGATGGTCATTGTGATGATGATGATGATGCTGATGATGATGATGATGATGATGATGATGATGATGATGATGAGACGGTGACCGTGGGGCATTGTCGAATATGTGGGTTCGACACGATTCAAGGATGATGTGTGAACCACTGATATCAGTTGGATAAAGGTGGGTTGTGATGTTGGATCCGAGGTGGTTCAAGGATGTGTTGCAACACAGCATTGTCATCCAATTGCATACCATAAGACAGCACGGCGTATTTCATACAACGCTGTTAATTGTGATGGCGTCGGTGACGACGGCAATGTCGTGACCACGATGACCGTGGACATGGTTGTGGTAATGATGCGGACCGCGGTGTTTCGTCGTGTGGACGTCATGCTTCGCAGAGAGAGAGAGAGAGCGAGAAAGAGAGAGAGAGAGAGAGAGACAGACAGGCAGAGAAAGAGAGAGAGAGAGAGAGAGAGACAGAGAGGAGGAGGGAACGATGATAGCGACCAAGCGTCGAAGAAGAAACAACTGCATCAGCATATACACATCTGGATGTCCTCACAATTTCTTGGATCGGCGGTGGCCCCCTCCGGCGGCGCCTCCAGCGCCGCCCTTGGCCCGATCCGCGCTCCAGGGGGGGACGATGGCGGCCAAGCAGACGCAAGTCGTGATGACGACGTCGCGCTGACCATAAGTGTTGCACGGTGCTGTGGCGTAGCCGCGGGCACTGTGCGGCCTGCCGCAGGCGACAGTGGCACCCTTCGCGGCCGGGGTACAGAACGCCACCGAGCCAGAAGAGAAAGATGCGCCCCTTCCTCACCTCGCGCCCCCTTCTTCCTTCGAAGAAGCAAATCTTGCATAAACACAAACTGTCGGAGCTCCGCGCGGGTTTCTTGGATCAGCGTTGATGCCCCCCTGGTGGCGCCTTTGTCGCGCTCCGCGCGCCAGGGAGGGGGGACCAGCGCGGGTCCAAGAAACCTTCGCGGACCTCCCATTAGGCAGTTATTTGTTCCTCTATTCCCCGTTTCTCCTTCTTTTCTTCCTCGTTCTCCTCCATCCCAGCCTGTCCCGAAGCGTTCGGCCGAGAGGGCCTATGCTGGTGCACTGCCAGCGTAGCTGACCCAGGCTGGCAGCTACAGTGCTCGGTCGTCCCTCCGCCCCCCCTCATCCTCCCGCTCTCGCTCCCTATCCTCGTCCTCTACGTCTCCCTCTTAAGTTATCCCATCCCTTCTCTGTTTTTTTGGATTGGAAGTCGATCGGGGCGAAGTGCGCTCTTCTCCTGGCGAGTGCGGGCATAGCAAATCCCAGCCACTAGCACAGCCACGTCAGCAAACCTTTGGGTCAGCGCGGTTCCGTCTCGTCCTTCTCTTGCCCATATTCGTCGCCTTTCTCTTCGCTTTTGTTGTTCTCACCCACCCCATTTTCACTGCACACCAGTGCTAGTGCTGCTGCAAGTATTGCTACATTCGTGCGCGCGTGCGCTGGTAACGAGTGGCGACGGAATCTTCTCGTTGGCAGGCACATGGTGCGCGTTGCGTTATCTTGCATGCACCCGGACACCCAGTAGATTATATATCGCTTGCCACCCCACGCGCCACCGTTGCACAGCGCGCTTTGCCCAGGCCCAGGGACAGGGCCGTCGGACCCCCTCCTCCGTGCGACTGCGGATGGGCCAGCACGCCGAAAGTCGTGAAAAGGCCGTTACAGGGTACAGCGCACACAGCGGCACATCGCGCAATAGCAGGTGTGCAATCAGCAGCATTAGAGCGAGCGCCACAAAAGGGACCAACTGCACCACGCGCAGCAGTACGTAATTAGCACCAGCAGCGTCACTGTGATTACCACGACTGGGAGGAGCAGCTTCACGCGCAGTCCACAGAGCCACCAGCAGCACCGCTGTGGCCAGCATGATCTGGATTTGCAACACCAGCGCACCCAGCACCATCTTTCGTTGCAGCCCTAGTGCATCCAGCAGCAGCAGCAGCAGCGCGCCTACGACGGCGTCGGCGACAGCCACGCCAACCTCTTTCGCAGACGACTCACTGATGGCCTCAGGCCAGTCTTGCCATGAGATTTAGATGCAAGGCATACCAGTTCTGCAGAGGAGGAGGAGGAGGAGGAGGAGGAGGAGGAATATGAGCAGGGGGAGGATGGCGAGGAGGAAACGTAGGAGGAGGAGGAGGAGAGGGAGGAGGAGGGAGGATGGAGGAGAGAGGAGGATGGAGGAGAGAGGAGGATGGAGAAGTGATCAGGGATGAGGCAGAAAGATGCGGGATGAAGGGGGGAAAGGGAGAAGGACGAGGGAGGAGGGAGGAGGGAGGAGGGATGAGGAAGGAGGACGGAGGCCGTAGGAGGGAGGCGGGAAGTGGGAGGATTGAGGAGGGAGGAGGGAGGAGGAGGAGGAGGGGGCAGGGAGGGGGGAGGGTGGAGGGAGGAGGGAGGAGGGAGGAGGGAGGAGTAGGAGGGAGGTGGGGGGATGGAAGAGGGAGGAGGAGGAGGGATGAGGGATGAGAGGAGCGAGGAAAGAGGAAAGAGGAGCGAGGAGGGAGGAGGGAGGAGCGACCAGCGAGGAGCGAGGATGAGGATGATGATGAGGAGGAGGCGGAGGAGGAGTAGCAGGAGGAGGAGGAGGACGAGGGGGGCGAGGAGGAGAGAAGGGAAGAGGATAATGAGGAGGCGGAGGAGGAGGAGGAGGAGGAGGAGGAGGAGGAGGGGGAGGAGGAGGAGGAGGAGGAGGAGGAGGAGCAGGGTCCATGTTCGTTATGGTTTTGTATGGCTTCCCCATCGCGCTCGCCTGGATGTTCCTGCCCTCGATTCGATGTCGGAGCCACGACCAGGCCCAGCAGTACCACGCTCAGCAGTACCAGAGCCACCAGCAGTGCCACTGTGACCATAACAATTGGGACCAGCAGCGCCTCGCACAGCAACAACGCTACCAGCAATCCCACTGTGGCCAGTACGGCCCGGAGTCGCAGCACTAGCACAACCAGCAGCACCCTTCACAGCAGCACCTGTGCATCCAGCAGCAGAAGGGCACCTTTGATGCCGCCGGCGACAGCGACACCCAGTTCCTTCGCGGACATGGCCCTCATATGCGTGCACCACCTTTGTCGCCAGCGCGACGCCTGCGCCGACCCCCAGTCCGACGTCGAGTCTGTCACCATATCCGTCGTTTGCGCCGTCATCTGGTCTTGAAGTATAGCTGTTCTAGGATGCTTAATTCTGGGGTGATGCTCGGGCCACTCGCAATGACTGGAAAATCGTGGGTTTCTTCACTTTGCATCTACCTGGGATGTGTGGATTGGTAATGTCTTATGGGGTGGTGGCAGTGCCACCCACATGGACTTCATGACCATGTCCTCCGGGCTCGTCCTCTTAGGTCTGCTTGTGCAGCCGCCGCTGCTACCATAGTCATAGGTCTTGTTGCCTTGTGTCTCCTGTTCTTCCTTTCTCATCTGCCCTCCCTTCGATCACAGCGTTTCGTTGAATGTAACACTTTCGGGATCCCGCAAGGTGGGGGTGTGCCCCGGGGGTGGGTGTGAGTTCGATCGTTTTTTGCACCGAACGGCCCACAACAGATGCCCCCAGCCGCCCGCAGCTCCCGACAGTTGCCGATAGGCGGGACTTGCGGGGGGCATCTGTTTGCGGCAGTTGGGTGCACCAGCGGATCGAACTCATGCCCCTCCTCAGGGTCACCCTTCCCTTTTGGTGCATCCCGACACTTTCTCGTTTCACGTTCGCTGGCGCTCGCCCCCGTCCCACGGGGTGGCGCCCACCGCCATGGGGGCGTCCGGGGCGGTGCGCTCTCAGAGCGCCCCGTCCCCGGCACCCTCCGTGTGCGGCTCCACGCTGTTCGTTGTGTGTTGCCGGTCCGTCCGCAGCTTCTTGCCTGTTCCTTGCTGCCCTCCTC